AATTTGTGTTTGATTAGAATTAGAATTAAATATGGTGCTAAAGTTTGAGTTTTGTTAAGGATTGGTTTATAAATAATTATTATATTTTTTTAATTATTATTTTTTTATTTTATATGACACTTAAACTTGAGATTTATCACTTGTGTAATAATATACTAATCATTTGATATTATTGGTGTTTTAATTTTTGACTTGCATTTCTCAAACATTCTATTATTGTCTTAATAATTATTTTTATAAAACACAAAAAGAATAAGAAATATCTTTAAATATCACATCTAAATTTCATGAGATGAGTTTTTTGTAGAAACTTATTATACCCATAAACCAAGTTTGATAAAATAGATAGTGAATTAAAAAATTATATGTTTTTTTTTATCTCAAACCGCTAAACAAATGGATTTACTTTATCTAAAAAACTGGAAATTAAGATTTTATTCTTCGGTTCGATGCATCGGAAAAATAGACTTGAAGCACAACAACAACCATTACGTATTATTTTCCAACATCGGTACATAGCTTACCTGTCCATATTATGAGTCAGTCCTTTATAGGCTCCACATCTTTGTCCTTAGGACTTGTCAATTATTGTGGTCATAATTAAATTATTGTATTAGTTATTTAATTAATGTTACTGTATCTATATGTTACTTCACGATTAATTTAGCAACAATTATGAAATTATATTATATTTTTGTTTCGACAAAATTGTTATTGGAAAACAACTTCTCCATTTTATGAAAAAATAAAGAAAAAAAGGCAACAAATATAAATTTTAATGTGCTAATATTCTTAGATTCGATGAAACAATCAATGCATTTTTTTTAATTAAGACTAAATATATATTATTTCCTATAATTAGCTTCATTGAGATTTATATATTTATGGACGTGAAACATATAATCTTATTTCTTTTTACGTGTCAGTTTTACTAACAGAACTAAACACGTGTTGTCTCTGTCTCACCTCATATTATCATTGAGTATGTATAATATTTCCCTCGACAGAGCCAACTGTGTGAAAAAAAATGAGATTAAAATTTTTACTTTCGTAAATATAAGAATCATAATATAACTTTTGAAATTGCGGGAGCCAATATACTAAAGGTAACTAATTATATGGATCAATATGTGATTAACTTTCTTTATTATGATATAATTTTAGAAAAGTTGGTATTCAGTTGCTGGCATGGAATTGAATCTTAATATTAGTAGATTGCATAATTACCTAAATTACAATGCAAAGGCACCACATGGAAATAGGAAGAAAGTAAGTTTATAGTTACAAGTAGTTAATCCCCTGAATAGGTTTATTATTGTGCATGAGCACACCATCTTGGAATTTATTGATTTATAGATAAGTAGCTCTCCCAGCATTTGACACCGAGCGTTGTGGCGTCTCTCACGCCACTCACATCTCCATTAATGCATGGAAAATAGGAGGGGAGAAATATTAGACTTACTTCGATCGATGGAAGGAGTTAATAAGTAGAGACAAGGAGGTGGTACTGTAAGGCATACAGTATGAGTTCTTTCCAGCTGAGTGAAGAGTCACCAGGGAGGGAGATCAGAAGAGATGGTACTCATGGGCGAGGGAGCAAGAGAGTTGTTGCAGGTGATGAAGAGGGGGACAATGGTGAGGACAGAGATGACAAGTCATGCAGTCAGGATGAACCCCAGGACCAGGTAGTTAGTCCTCCAACTTATCCTCCCTTCCTTTCTTCTTCTTCCTTCCTCTCTCTGATTGCGTTTTAACTCATGCAACATTATACTTCATAATAGAAGCCTGGGTGGAAAAAGTTCCTGGCTCATGTTGGTCCCGGATTCCTTGTGTCCTTGGCTTACCTTGATCCTGGGAATTGTAAGACACACTCTCTCTCTCTCAATCTAATTAGTTAAGGAAATTAAATTCATTCGCTTGAATTGTGTGACAGTGGAGACGGACCTACAAGCCGGAGCTAAACACAGATACGAGGTAAGCTTAACATGGAAATCTTTGCATGAGAGTCCCTCAACTTTGGAGCCTCTTTCAGTGCTTGGTATCTGTCTGAGACAGCTAAAATACCATCTAAATAAATGATGTAAAAGAAACAGCATACCCACATATAAGGGAAAAATCATGCTTGACCTCTCAGGGTCCGGATACATATTATTGTGTGCATACAGAGAACATTCCAGCTTTGGACGCTGCAACAGCACATATATACCTCCATTTCTTGATCGAAACATAATTTGGAAATTCTCCAAAACAGCTCTTATGGGTCGTACTGATCGGTCTGGCATTCGCGTTGATCATACAGTCACTAGCAGCAAATCTCGGGGTGGCTACAGGTATCACAACCGCACCATTTCGAAGGAGATTAATATATGGTAATCGTGTTCCTAATCATGCATGCACCACTAAAAGGGAAGCACCTGGCGGAGCTGTGCAAAGCTGAGTACCCAAAGTATGTCAACTACTGTCTCTGGGTGATGGCGGAGGTGGCTGTGATTGCTGCTGACATCCCTGAAGGTGTTTCGATTGGAGCTAAATTGTTATGTGGCCCTCTCGCTGTTTCTTCTTGCAATCATTCGAAGCACTTATGGCAATGATTGACTTTCTTCCAGTGATAGGAACAGCCTTCGCTCTCAACATCTTGTTTCGCATCCCAGTGTCGGCAGGTGTCCTCATCACAGGGCTAAGCACTCTCCTGCTTCTTGGGCTTCAGAGATATGGGGTACTGTCTACCATCACTCTTATTCTTTCACTGTTCAATCATCGACTGACGTTTTCAGGGGCATCAAATGGTTCTGAGGGGACACGATTTCTTGTCATGAACTGTTCAGCTATACCTGTGATCCTAACTTTCTCTGAGCTCAATCGAGTTAAAGGAGATGGATGATCTAAAGAAGGTTCATGTGCTCACCACATCATACTGCAGGTTCGGAAACTTGAACTGTTGATATCCATGCTGGTGTTCGTCATGGCTGCCTGCTACTTCGGAGAGTTGAGCTACGTGAACCCCCCCGCGACCCAGGTGATGAAGGGGCTCTTTGTGCCCAGGCTTGGCGGCGATGGTGCCACCAGCGACGCCGTCGCTCTCCTCGGCGCCCTAGTCATGCCGTGAGCAGCAGATCAATCTCGTCGCCACATGAGCGCTTGTCTGTGATTGCTTCCTTGCTGCATCGATCGGGTCTCGCTGATCAAGTTCTCTTCATGCAGGCACAATTTGTTCTTGCATTCAGCTCTGGTGCTGTCGAGAAAGACTCCACCTTCCGCCGAAGGAATCAACGTAAGTGTCATAATAGTCGAACGCAAATGACTCTTATCTCGGTTGAGAATAGATGTTTGAACATGCAAAACTAATAAATACCAATATTTTACTTAATTCTCTTTGTGTAAATCAAATATGATATAATTTACGCCAAACATCAATTTCTAATAAATTTCGATATTCAGGCCAATAAAACCAGCAATATAAAAAAATAAACTATTTATTCTTAGATTAGTAATATTTTTTGACTAAAAAATTAACATGTTTATAAACTCAACCATAATTTTTTTGACTAATAAAATCTCCGACAATCAATCATTGGCTTATCTAACCTCTTAGGATTAATTATATATTACTCTTATAATTAGTTATATTTAGCATCCCGATCTTTATATTTGTAAAAGTTATATTGGAATACCAATAAGTGAAATATTTAACTTTGTTTCTTTTCGCGTATATTTATTATTGAGCAAGTGTTGACTCTATCTCACTTTAATTTATAAAGTCAACGAAGAAAGAAGAAATTAGATTAAATATTTTATTTTTATAAATATAATGATCATAATGTAATAATTTTTAAAAATATAAAAAATTAAAATACTAAAAAAAATTAATTACAAAACTCCTATGTTTTACCTTTTAGTCTATTTCAATCTAGAATGACTTTTTATTTTTATCTCTTACAAATTAGAGTCAAATGTTTTATTTAATTCAACCTCGATGGTCCCACCACTTTCCTGGACCATCCAAGAGAAAAGGGTCGTAAATTGATGATGCGTTGAATGTTTTGTCTTCTCGTGCGAAGGACGCCTGCAGGTACTTCCTCTTGGAGAGCGGCTTCGCGTTGTCGGTTGCGCTGCTCATCAACGTCGCCGTTGTCTCCGTCTCTGGAACCGTATGCGCTGGTCGTAGCCTTCCACCTGAGGATTCTGAAACATGCAGCAATCTAACCCTCAACTCAGCCTCCTTCTTGCTCAAGGTTCGTCCTCTTCCACCACCCACACGAAGCCTGCCATTTCATGTTCACGTTCTCCACAGAACCTCCTGGGCAAATCGAGCTCCATCGTCTACGGCATCGCATTGCTGGCCTCCGGACAAAGCTCCACTATATCAGGCACATACGCCGGTCAATACATCATGCAGGTAACTAGCAGCATACGTAATATACTTCTTTCATTCTTCTTCCTTGGAGTGATCCACAACGCACCGTCCAGGGATTCTTGGACGTAAAGATGAGGATGTGGCTTCAGAACCTCATGACACGATGCATTGCTATCGGCCCCAGTCTCGTCGTCTCCATCATTGGCGGCCCTGCCGGAGCTGGAAGACTCATAATCATAACATCAGTACCTTAGTTTCTCTTCTCTCATGCTCATAAAAGGATTATGCTATCACACCATGTCCGGACTAATTAATGAACCAAGTTATGCAGATGATCCTATCTTTCGAGCTGCCCTTTGCCCTCATCCCTCTTCTCAAGTTCAGCAGCAGCGGCACAAAGATGAGGCCCCACAAAAACTCCATCTACGTGAGTTCATCTGAAGTAACAAGTCGCATTCGCAGTGCACCATGACTACCGTTAATTCTTCTCTAACTCATTCAGATCATAGTCATCTCGTGGATCCTTGGCTTCGGTGTCATAGGAATCAACGTCTACTTCCTCAGCACCAGCTTCGTGGAATGGATCACCAGTAGCAGTCTCCCAAAGCCTGCCACAGCTCTCGTCGGCGTCATCGTCTTCCCCTTCATGGCTGTCTACATCCTTGCTGTTATCTACTTGACCTTCAGGAAGGATACAGCAGTGACATTCGTTGATAAATCTGATTCGTCGCTGAAGGAAATGGAGGATGGTGTGCATCGTTCTGATGGTGACAAAGGAGGTGACGTTGTGCCGTTTAGAGGCGACCTCAATAACATCTCTCCTCCTGAGTAAAGCTTGTTTCGGTATGTGTTACAAGACGTTTATGTTGTAGCTGTATGAGCCGAAATAATCAGAATTATGTTCATAATTATGTGCTTGCAGTGCAAGTATATTACTATTTGTAACTTTTTTACTATTTACAATCACATTTTAATTTTTTTAATATTTATAATTTTTTCTAAATTATTTTTTTAAATTTATCGTATATATATTTTCTTCTTCCTCCTCCTTTGAAACGAAGTTGAGGGGCGGCGATAGGATTGGACGATGTCTCACAACACAACATTAACAGGATGAAATAAAGGATTGTGAAAAAAAAAAATACAAGGACTATATATAGTAGAATAATATTTTATTATTTTTAAAAGATTATCAATAATAAGAGGTTACCAATCCCTTCAAAAAAAAAAATTCAAGGACTATAAACATTTTTAGAAATGTTTAAATAACATATTTGTTTCACCAAATATTACATACACATCCCTTCAAAATTTTAGAATTTTCATATATATATATATATATGTATATATATTCTCGTACGAAAATTGTATATTAATCATTAAGAGTGGAATCATCAGTTCTCTATAAAAAAAAATAAAATAAAACTAAATGGAAGAAAAAGATCAAACAAAAATACTGAATTAGCAGGTCTAGTTCTGTGTGGGTCCCAAGTGGGCCGTTTGTTCCTTCGATTAGAAGACAGGTACATTCGGCGGGTGATGCGTGACGGGTAGGAGATAGCGTGGCTCAAGAAGAATCGGTGAAGACCGGCTTCGGGAGAAGCCGCTCAGACCGCACGAGAAGAACGCTCGCGATTGCTGTGTCCCTCTTCTTGTTGTTATTCACCTCCTTAACCCCAGGCGTCTGTCTCCCTCTCCGCTCCCCTTCAGATATAGAGGGAAGGAGGGTTTCTCCAAAGTAGTTGAGGCAGGAGCATTTGACATCCCCTCGAGGTCACCCCCTCAGCGGCCTTCAATCGCCTCGGTCCGTCCGTTTCTTGATCCTGTTTTTTGGTGGCGGCAGCAGTGGTTGCGGTGGCCGACAATGGGGAATCAAAAGGGGAACTTGGATGGAGGACAGCAGCATGCTGGGGGCCGTGCTCGCCATCCTCCAGTGGTGGGGCCCTAACGTCACCGTCGTCAGCATGAACAAGTGGCTCTTTCAGGTCAAATCGATTTCGTTATCTCCTTTCTGCTCTTTTTTCGTTTGTTTCTTTCTTCGATGCGGAGATTTCGTGCCGTTGTCTTTGTTCTGGTAGTTCTTTTGAATGATTTGTGTAGATGGTCGGAAAGGTGGGATTGTTTTTGGTCGATTTGACTGGTAAAGTCTTGGGGGTTCACTAATTACA